GGAGAAATGCCCTGAGCAGGGCAGGGTGCTCAGGTGACCCCTAGAGTGCTCAGTATACTACCACTGAGGTTGAAAATCCCTTGGCCTTTTCTGCCAGGCTGAGCTAAGGACTATGCCCAACTCTGAATGAAGAAACTGTGTACGGGACAGCTGTCTCTCTTTAATAAGAAGCCACTGCTTATTGTCACTGATAAAGCTATAAAAGTCTTGCCACAAAATTTATGTCTAGAAGCAAGGCAGCAAATGAATATAAATGCATTTTAAAAGAATCTGTACTTAAAAAACATGGGCGAATGTGGCTTAAATACTAAAAACTGTAGATACATGTAACGTATGTATTGTTGATGTAAAGGGGCATTGTTTCTCGTCTACTGTTATGGTCTTCCCAGCCCCACTTTGAAGGAGCTGATTGAAGCTTGGTTTTAGGTATGAAATTTTCCCCCTCTCTTCAACGTACCTGAGTAGTAAGGACACAGTAAGTCAGCTGTGAATGCTGCTGAAACACTGAGAAGAGAGAGATTCCGATGGAATGCACAACCATGTTGAATCTCATGGTACATTTACACATCTAGATAATCAAGGGAGCACCATGTCCTTTGCAGACCACTTTTACAAGTAGAGTGAGTCCTTCACGTGGTTTCCATGAGGCTGTTCCTAACACCATGTAAGCATTCACAGGGACCGCAGACCAAGAATCAAAACTACATTCAGCTAGGATGTTAAGACCTTTCTCTCATGGGCAAAATAAAAGATTGAGAGCTGAACTCTGCCAGGCTTCTGATATAAGAGAAGAATTAGGGCTTTATTGCTTCTTTGAGCTCCAGAAAATAAGGCAAATGCAAACAAACACGGCTCGATGTCACTGGTCCTTCTTGCTGGAGGTGAGTGTGATTATAGTCACTGTGGGGGGAAAGCATGAAACACAGCAGTGCTAGAATTGGCAGCTCACAGCAACTTTAACTATCAGCGCAGAATACCAAGGCGAAACTGGGATCCAGCTGTGTTGATTACTGACTTTGCCTGAGTTGTGGTGTGAGACATGTATGCTGATCTGGCTGAGTTTCTCGCTGGAAGGTCACTGCCAAACGCTAACAAAATGTGTTCCCAGCAGCACTTTTCCTTTTCCCTAGTAGAAGGGCTTTGATGTCGCTCTGAGCTTTTATAAGAGCAGCATTGGATCTGTGGGTGGAAGGTTAGTGTTAATTTCCAGACTTCAGGGCCTTTGTTGGCCTGCCCCTTCCCACCCTGGGGAGCATCAGTGCGAGATCAGAGAAGACTTGGGCCTGGAGCGCTGGGTTGTGGTCATTGCTGCCACCATTAAGGACATAATTCAGAACCAAAGGCGCAAGGGTTCCTATGTTCAGGTCCAAAGTAATAACACAAGCATCCACAGTCTGTTTCTAGCCTGAAGGCAGACACTCCTGCCCCCCCCCCACGGTATGAAGTTTTACTCAATTTAAAATATATACAGAAGTGGGAGAAGGTGAAATAAAATATACTTGATTTGTCAACTTGTTGTCTTCCCAAGTGTTTGCGACAGTGAACAGTTAAACTGAGAAATAAGTGATTCCAGAATAAGAAGCCTGCTTTTGCAAACACAAAGAAATACATCCCAACAACGAACGTAAGAATAATAGAAATCTCACTATAATATGTTGATTCCCCATAAAATAATCCTGCTTTTGTCCTCTGTGTGACAGCTTGAATTACTCAACCAATGGAATGATTAATGAACAAGACAATGCAGGATTTGTCACACTGACACAAAGCAAGGAAGTGTGTGATAGTCATTATAAAACAAGGAATGAGATAAACATCCTCACCACTAGGATAGCGGATGTGGGATGAATATTGAAAAATACGTTGGCTCTAGAAGCAATTAAAGAATTATCCATCTCATTGTCCTGTTTGTCATGAGTGGGCTGCCTAGCAAGTATGGGGTAGATAAAAACAGGTCCCAACATGGGACCTGAGAGCCACAGGACATTCTGTGTCCACTGACTGAAGTGTGATTTGCTAGAAGAAATGAGAGCTGTGGAAGTGGCCAAGCCTGGGGAGAGCTCCAGCTTGGTATACCATTAACATGCACAGTCCTCGCTTGCTGTAAATGGACTCATGTTAGAGAAAGTGATGTAGGTTAGTTCAAGGGTGAAGCTCAAAAGCTTGAATGGGTATTAAATTTATAGGGTCCTTTTGTATTTCTTACCTAGTTATATCTCACATGCAATGATTCTCAGGAAGATTCCATATACCGGATATTTTAGGCTGAATTTACCACCACTGACTATGTAGCCATGGAAAGGCCATGGCCTTCCACCTCAGAAAGAGTAAATTTCATTTAGCAAATGTTACAAGAAGACAACCCAAGAGATACTATCACCTCAGTATAGAGATTTTTAGCATTTGCGTCAATGTCTGTGGTGAAAGATAATTAGAGATAATGTACAATTAGTCATTCATGTATCAAGTGTGCTTGCGTGGGCCTGTTTTGCACTGGTAATTGTGCGCATCATGGGAATATAATTCATGAACCATCTATTGCTTTGGTGGGTTGGAGACACGGTTTCCATATTGTTTCGTTAGAGGTAACTGTGGCCTTTCCAAGGACATTTTTGTGCTTTATTTATTCTGGTGCCCCCCCCCCCCAAGTATCTAGCATGATGGCCTTGTCAGACGACTTGTCTCGGAAGCTCTGGTTAACTGAAGGCTCGGTGACACACTTACCGGCAAAGCGATTGCTCAGGAAAATGTACTGTCTTACAGAAATGCACTCAATAAATCACTTATTTCCACCAACAAGATCATATTGCACAGCGATACAGCAAACCAAACTTCAGAGATCTTTACTTGGACATAAGAAAACTAAAACAGATTCCTGAGTATACATGCCGGAAGTGTTTTGGTTCACTGCTCTGCCCAAGTAACCGCTGTTGCACAAGAGGGTTGTGCAAGCAAGATCTCAAAGAAGTTATGTGAGTGGCCTGCTTTTATCAGCGTGAAAGGACTTTAGACCTTTGGAGTAGATCAGACCGTGTGACTCTGACTCTTACCACTGAACCTCTTCAAGTCCCGTGTCCTAGCTTGAAGTGAGAATAGTGGTCTCTCCCACCTGTGATTGTGAGTACTGTACAGATCAGTTGAGAGCAGTTACACACCCGAAGTCTATAAAAAGCCTTGGGAATGTCACAGAAAGTTTGTGGATTCACAGACACCTGCAAAATCCTCTAGTCTATTGGGAATGCCTGTCTTGCCCTTTACTAAATGCACTTGCGCTGGTTAATTTCATGCTATCGGCATTAGGCACAGTGGAAAAAAAAATAAGCAAAGTAGATGCTTGCTCCTATGTTGAGGCACGTTCTAGGATAGAGCAGGTGCAATGATTTAAGATGATGAGTAGGTAAGAGGTTTGGAGGAGGGTTAAGGATTAAGAGGGAAAGTAAAGGATATGAAACAAGAAAACAGGAATATTAAAATATTTGGTAAGCGGCCAGAAAAGAAATTGCTCAGATGGCTTCACTTAAGGAAATGAGGGAATGAACCATTCAGATACTTGGGAGAAAGCATTCCAGGTGGAAAGAGAAATGAGCACAAAAGCCCCAGTGACCCCTAGAACATTCTGGTACTGAGTGGGGCTGGAGAGGAATGAGTAAGAAGGCAGCATGGGGTGAGGTTGATGAAGGGAGTGGATCACATCAGCCTCTGGCCTCAGATAAAGCCCGCTGCTTTTATTCCAGTGCAGAATCATAGGATTTAAGCAGAGGACTGCCATTAGCTGTACCACCGTCTAGAAAACAGAGTAGCTGGGGCTAAGGGCTAACAAAGATCAGTGTGGAAGTCACTGCAGTAACCCACGCTGGAGACAGTGTGCTGGTGACATGGAACAAGGCAAGGGAACAGACCCGGAAGAAGACACTGTGCCCCAGATGCACTTGATAGAACAGACAGGATTGACAAACCTCACTAATGAACTTTAAGGGGTACAAGAGAAAGAAATATAAAGAATATAAAGTCTTTATAAATATATAAAAATATAAAGACTTCTGACCCCGAGCATCCAGAAGAGTGAATGGCAAGGGAAATTATGGGAAGACTTGGGATCGGTAGCTTCATTCTGAGCATATGGAGTTTACGGTTGGATAAACTGGACAAGGCAAGAAGGTGACTTTTGGTAGAATTAATAAAAAACTGTGTTTTCAAATATTACTGAGCAGGCTAGACAGAAGGCTCAGCCAGAAAAAAAACGCTTTCAACCAGCCTGAGGACCTAAGTTTCAGTTCCAGGACCCATGTGGTAGAAAGAGAGATTTCGTTCTTGCAAATTGTCCTCTGACCTCCGCCACTCACTCCCCTGCTCCCACAAATAACTAAATACAGTGTAATAAAAAGCATAACACTGTAGACGTGCAGCAATAACAGCACTTTCTAACATAGTTTGAAAGTGGAGGTACTGTGTTTGTTAGAAGAAAAAATGGTCCACAAAATGGATTGCCCTGAATTGCCCAAAATGAATTATGCTAGAAAAGACTAGAACACCCAGATGAATTCAAAGAAAATTTGTGACTAAAAAAATATTAATTTGTTTGTCCCTTCTTCTATTCCTTTAATGGATGCTAATTTCAAATTTTTGCAAATTTTTCAAAAATTTTCAAATTTTTAAGTCTTAGGTTTAGACTGGAGATTTCTTTTTCCTTTTCTTTAGTAGAACTTGGAATAGAAAATCCTGGGAAAAGACACTTGGTGGGTGATAGGATCGTGTCCAGCATTCCAGGTCACTTTGTTTTGGAAGGCCATTAGAGCGTTCATACGTCACACAGTACTTGCATTTTTCCTGCCCCGTGGGCCATATGATGTGAGAACAGAAACGAGAGGTAGACAACTGTTCCTCTAGAATTTTCAAAGGGAGCTGAGGAAGTGGATGGTGATTATTGTCAGCTAGATGCGGTGCATTCGGTTGTGTGTGGATCAGTTTCCGGCTGCCATTACACTCTCTGTCTCTCTCAGTCTTACGCAGGGAAATATGTGCCGGCCATAGCACACTATATCCACTCCTTCAATCCCTTGAGGCTATTCAAGATCCGCCTGAAAGGAATCGCTATCGGAGATGCTTACTCTGACCCTGAATCGGTTGGTGTCCTGCTTTTTTCTCTTTCTTTCTTTCTTTCTTTCTTTCTTTCTTTCTTTCTTTCTTTCTTTCTTTCTTTCT